ACCTTACTTGAGACTATTACATCCAACAGAAACTATGTATTTTCCCTACCTACTTTTTCTTGTGTTTTTCTTTTTTCTATTTTGTTTTTGATTAAATCTTTTAAATTTTTCCAAAGAACATCTTATGCTCTGGACATTAATAATTTGTTACTTTGGCTAAAATATGACTACAACTGTAGATGAAGTCATTTGCAGGAAATATTAGAAACCAATAAATAGTTATTCAGTTAATGTAACAGTCTTAAGTTAGTGACTGAATCCAAGGATCCATTTCCTTCTAGAATTCAGGCATATATGTTAGTTAGACTCAAAGTAATTACCCTCAGCCATGGATTCCTTTTACATTTGAGATGCTTAGATCCATTTGTGACTAATAAAGTTTTGGAAAATGTTCTTTGAAATGCTTATTCAAATTAGTACTTGCCGGGAGAATGCTTTTTCTCTCTATTGCCCAATTTCACTATTTAAGCTGAGAGCTGCTGTTGACATAAAAATATATTTGCAAAGACCATGCATGAATAAACTTTCAATTTAAAAATTGTCCTTAACTGTTGGAGGGTAGAAGTTGCAGAGCACTCTTCCATTTTAAGATGGGATTTGGAAAGATGCTGGGTTTTTTTTGTTTTGTCTTCCAGCACAATTGACTGCTTTTCTGTCTGGGCCAGTGGCCCAGGAAGTCCCTCAAACCTCTGAATTTTATGCAGTTTTATTCCTTCTCAGCCATAATATTTTGCCATATATCTTGTAATCTTGTTCCAGAATGCATTTTGTGCCACGCTGTCTGTCCCTAGACCGTTTAGTGTCTGCCCTTCTTTTGTCATCTTGGCCAGCTTACTGGAAGTTAGCATTTTACTTACAATTCATGCAGTGTTTCAAATGAAATACCAGTCACGATATATGCAAACTGTAGTTCTTAAGAGATGATGCAGTCTCTTAGCATTAAAGCTGCACTAGAAAATGTGTATCTCTTTTTGCAAGGAGTAAGTGGCACTTTGTTATCTAGTAACACTAGATTTTTGTTCTATAGAAAGGTCAACTTCCATGTGTCATTCATTCTTCTGACTCAAGGGCGGTATCAATGGAATTGCATTGGAGAATATGATCTCTGTTCACATCAGTTTGTAGGAACTCTGTCTCCATATTTGTCTCCCTTGCTTCTTCATCTATGCATATCCTCCATACCTGTACTTCAAAGAAGCATCCTTACAACTTGGGGCAGCCACTAGGTCACGGTTTCACTCAAATGTTCTGGGATCTTAGAAGTAAGTGCAACCCCTAAAATGGTACTGTTGTTCAATGTTATCTTAAGCAATAAACAAGGATCTGGTGACATTTTGTTTGCCTCAGAAAATAGGATGCTGTGCGATGATAGTGACTCTGGTGATAAAAGTTTGTGTAAAAATTAGTGCTATCATGGTAGGGGGTAAAAAAGGCTTGACAGCACACATTATGCCATAGTCACTGAGAAGATGAAACAGTCCACCATGATTAGCTTTTGCACTGAGTAATCTATTCCACAACTAATACTCTGCTGTTTCACCACTTAGTCATTATGGTACCAGTTATGTGCCTCTGTTATGCAAGAGAAGTATCTGAGTCCTGCAGCTGTCATGCCTACATAGGAAGCATAGGAAATCTGCTCCGATTTGGGACTGTTTTTCTAATATGGAACTTGGTATGGATGTAGCCAGAGATGATGAACAAGAAATAAGTCTATTTATTATTAATATATACCGTGTTTACAGATTTGGTTTTACTTGGTTACATCAATGTAAACCTGAAAAACTCCACAGAATTATGATAAATTATTTGGGGTTTCCAAATAATTATAGGGAAGAGTTTAATTCATTATAGTGAAAAGCTTAATTCATGTTGAAGTTTTTGTGCACCCCAGAACTCTTCTTATTTTGGTAGTGTGGAGAAAGTTTGAAAGAGTTGTCATCGGTATAAACCAAAAATACCTCAGGCGAGGACATATGTGTTTTTTGTTATTCGTTAGCTACCCTCCCAGTCTCTCCCCTCAAAAAAAAAATCTAAGGAAACAAGCACACCACAAGAAAAATGCAAATAAAGGGAATAATTCCCACTAGACATAAAAGACAGCATTTATAACCCTAATAGAAATGCCAGTCAGCTGCTTTGATGTAAAGCATTTGTCTCCAAAAGGAAATGAAGGAAGGCCTGCTTCTCCTTTCAAGTCTCTGAAGTAGTAGGTGGTGTCATTTGTTATACAGTGCTACAAGCCCTATGTTATTGAACTGGTAGCTGCCGACTGCCTTTGTTAACATACTGAAAAGGTTTATCAGCTGTCTTTAATAAAAGGCAATATATGTGAAGGGAAACTATAGCAACTGTGGCTTTCTCTGTGTCCTCCGACCGTCGTTTATAGCTGTCAGGGGATGATGACACTGATGCACACTCATTCATTCTCCCCAAATCCTTGCAACTCTTGCAGTTAGCCCAAGAAAGTGGAGTGACTGATCCCCTGCGCAAGAAAGTGGGGTGACTGATCCCTTACAAAGTTAAGCAGTACCCTAATCCTGTTTGCTTTCTCATTTGAAACATGAAGGTGTGAACTTTCAGCACCACTTGCAATGAATTGCCAATTTACATACTGCATAGACGTATTTCCCTGGAGCATAGTGGTCTTGAATTTTGTTGGATACCTAAGAAGTAAGGAATAATACATAGAAAATGGAAATAATCTGTTAAAAAGCATAGTTTTTTTTTTCTTCTAGATGTTTTTGTTGATTGCCTCACTGAAAAGTTTTGCCAAATTAGAGATGATGGCCAAAGAAGGATTCTCTCAGCTTGCATATCAGTTGCGTATAAGGCCTATGTATACAACTTGTAGAATATTGGGTTAACACAATGTACATACTTTTGGGGAGAGAGAGGACAGGAAGGCAGAGTAGGCAAGAGAGACGAGTTTGTCTCTCACCCAGATAATGCGCTTGTGGACATCCTAGAATTAGAACTGAGCACATTTTGACATGTATATTACTTTCTGTTAATTTTTCTAGGTTTAAAGTTATTTAACCAATATCTGTTATAAGCTTTGTCTAACTTAGCACATACATACAGAATTATATTTCGAGTGAGAAAATAGTTATATGCTTGTAAGAGAGCTCATGCTCATATATGATCCATAACCTCTAATTGGACCAATATGGAGCACAGTAATTGGGAATGGACAGTTCTACTCACAATCAGGTCTAGAAAATTCTCTTACACTGCAGGAGAAAGACCATTTTCAGATATTTCAGAAAAAAATAGATTAATAAAAGAAATATATGTCTATTTAGACAGTCACGGATTTGTTGTGAAGTTCTTCCCTTATGAGTCTTTACTTGCAATGTTTCAATTAGCATCCAGAAAGTCTTTAATTAAGGAAGATATTATGTAAAATGGCATGTATGACTGACTGCAAAATGGGAGCTGTGGTAATGTGGTTGCTGCTAGGTTTTGTCCTCAACAAGGATTACATTTCAGGAGCTTAATTTTACTTCTCAAACAGAACATTAAAAAAATAAAAAATTCTTGAGATTATTTAACTTGAAAATACTGCATAAAACCAAACAGGTGGGTTGTTGGGGTGGGTTTGTTTGTTTTAGAAAGACCTAGTAGCTGAGATGGAGGAGAATTTTATCTGCCAGGGTTAAGCGTGAAAACTTAAATCTAAAAATATCGTCCTCAAATTCCACTGGCTTATTATTATGGTATTTACCATTTATGGCATGGCAGAACTCTTTTCTTTTGGTGAACTGCTACAATTCTGAAAACCAGTTTTTCCATCCATCCAAAAGTCAATCCATCACAATCTTTATCAGTTTTTATGATCTCAAATAGGTCTCAATAGCTTGGTAGAATCAGGAAGGATGTTAAACATATAGACAGCCTATTTTACTGTCCTTCTACCTGCAGTGTTCTTGAATTTATTGTCACTGAAGAGTGTATAGGACACAGCTTAGTTTCCATGTAGCATCACATTCTTGAGTCTTGCAGTTTGATCTAAACACTGATAAGAGTTCTTGAAACTTTTGTGTGTGCGTGTATGTATGGATTTTTATCCCCTTTTCTTTGAAATCCAAGATATTGCTTTGGTAAATGACATCACTATGCTCCTACTAGAATATTATGTACAGAAGGTAGGTTAAGCTCTGTTCTTCTCAGCTTCAGAAAGCTGCTTTATCTGCCTTTGTAATACCTGTTAACTTTGTAGAAACTAGGTGTGTGTAATTACCACAAGTGACCTATTATGTCAGAATGGAACAATCTAAAGGTTAAAAAACAGTGAAAATGGGAGACACTTTCTCTCAGCTAAAGAAACCAGGAAAAAAAAAAAAAGAGCTTTTTAATGAGTTTGTTATGAATTCTTGACATATTTGTTATTAAAATAGCATGTGTTTCCACCATTGTTAATTTTGCTCAACCATTCATTAAGAGATAATTGCCATAGCCTGAATCTAAAAGGATACCCTATGACTCTTGAACATCTTTAGAAACTGAGGACAGATTGTATTTTCTACTCGTTATAATTAAGAAAAAGAGAAGAAAGGGATGAGTTCCAATGTGTTAACTATTCCCACTGATTATAAACTCTTTATTGGCAATGGATTGAATTAAAATTAAATTCCTTTCTTCAATCCACTCTTGGACTACTTTAATTTTCTCTTGGAAACTATACTGTGTCGGCATTGCCACATGTAAAGCTTTATGAGGTCTGTGTTTTCTCATTAAAGAGAGAAGTCTATGTCTGTAGACACCAGAGCTTGCCCTGTTTAAAGCACAAAGTACACAGTTAGCAGCTGTTCAGAAACTTTTTCTTGTTATCTCTATTTGCTTAAATTGCTAAATTGTTTCCATGAAATGCCTGCAAACATAAGGGAATAATTTGTGTAAGTGGAAGAAGTTTGTCTGATAAAAAAAAAAAAAAAAAAAAGATTTAAAATATTCTTAATATTTCTCCCCCCACCCCCATTTTTTTTCCTTTGTACCAGTATCCAGCTGCCTTAATGAATCTTGGAGCCATTCTCCATCTCAATGGTAAACTCAAAGAGGCTGAAGAAAACTACCTCCTTGCTCTTCAACTTAAACCTGATGATGTCATCACTCAGTCCAATCTTCGCAAACTGTGGAATATCATGGAGAAACAAGGTTTAAAGACATCCAAAACATGATGCTGAGAACTCAGTGAACTTTCTTTTTTTCTTGAACTCATCAAGTCCTAAGCTAGAACTTCCATGAAGCTGTCCAGTCACAGAACTCATTGGACTTGACTGCAAGGGTCAGAGGTTTGTATTGCTGCTAGGAGAAGCTGTTCTGCTTTTTTTGGCATAGTTTGTTTTTTGCCAGATAAAAAGAAAAAAAAAAAAAGACTTTTTAAGGAATTCGTAATGGACTGAGGTGTTACCCCACAAAAATATTTAGAACTCTAGCATTTAAATGAGGGTTTTTTGGCATACTTGATAAACCATTGCAAGTCCCATATTGCTCATTGCTGTGTGGGTACTTAAAATGTATACTGTTGTAGAAACACTAAGGGAATATTGTACAGTATACACTAGGCAATATGGGAGTGAAAAGTGGTAATAGTAGGTTAACATATTTTGCTCAGACTGTAACTCATTAAAATGTATACTAAATCCAGCGTGTTTGCAGTTTGTCTTAATGCTGCTGTATCTCACCTTAAGACCACTTGCTTATCAATTTCACATCAATTTATATGACCAATTTTCTTTTTTTTTTCAAACTTGTCACTTGTGATTAGATGACAGTATTCAAAATTTGTTTGCTGAGCGTACAATTACAATTTCAGCTTGTTAAAAGTTGTGATGAAATATTTTTTAGGATACACAGTCTAATGGCTGTGGGTTAGAAAGAAGGACAGATATGTAGACATAAAGAAAAAGAAGTTGCAGGTGTTTTTTAATATCTTGGCTTATCAATACAAAAAAGACTTATGTTTGCCCTGATACTAAATGAGTCTGATCAGTCTGTTATCTTAAAAAAAATAATAGTAATTTGGTATTATAGAATAATATGTTGGAATCCTTTACATTGCTACCAGATAAGACTGGGTTTAAACTTAGCCAAATGAGATTTGAAAATATTAGTGCTTTAATATGCTTCAAATGAGATTTCATCAGCAACTTTGAGTAAAAGGAGTGAGACACACTGAGGCTAGCAAGTAGCTGAAGGGACTGGAATTTGTTGGATCATGCTCAGTGTAGACAAAGTAGATCAACAGAAAAATATAAAAGATTGTCAGTTACTTTTCACAGTGATAATATTTAAAAAAAAATGTTATCTATTCAGATTCTAAGCAAATGCTAGAATTCTGTTTGCATTCTGACATGCATACCCACAGCAAAGCTGTCAAATATCTAAATATACTTTTGGTGAGTTTTGGTTTATTTTTCCTTTGAAATTATTTGGCCTAGTTGCCATTTTAATCTTCCTTTTTTAATGTAAAAATAATTTATTTTAAATTGCAGTGTATTGAAGCTTTAGTCAGATTTTTCCAGGCCATTTGCTAACTGCTTTCTTTCTTTGGAATAAGTATTATTGCTTCTAAGAAATTTGCTATTTCATTTAATGACTTGTTTATATCTGCTTCAGTGTTCTTTTCATAATGGTAGATGTAACGTTAAAGTGGTAGAGCACCTTGAACTGAAGCTTCTTCAGGTTCTTCTGTTAAACACCTTTATTACTGAAAAAGCATTTCTTACCATTAAGCACCATTCCAACAAAACTGTAGAGAAGAATACTTTGCTGTATTTATTTATTTATTACTTGACTGCAGCAACATTTTCTGTCATTAACGCCGCAATAGCATAAGTGTTGCTATTTCTTTTATCTGGTTTTCTCTGCCTTTTTTTTTTTTTTTTTTGATGGCATGTGTACTTAATGGCAAAGGGTACACTTGAACGTACTCTACTTGGTCCTTCTCCCCTTGTACTTGGATTTTAGATGTGTACCAATTTGTGTTGGGTAGTAACTATTTCCAAGTCAGTAGAGTCAAAAAACATAGCAGGATGTGCAGGATACTCACTGAAGTTCATTACTGGCCTGCCAGAAGGGCCAGGGGAGCAAGACTGGTTTTGTAGAGTATGTCAAGTCTTTCTAAAATTACAATATGGCTGTAACAGCAAAACTGAAAGGTTTAAAATTGAATTTCTTCTATCACTGAAGCCAGTGGTAAAATACAATGTTAGCTTGCACTTATTCTCCCTCTTTTCTGACTCTCTGGGAAGATGTAGAAATAAATCAGATAGTGTCTGTGACAGAACTCAGTATAAAACTGTGGTATCTTGCAGCTTTATCTGCAGCTCAACAGTCATCAAATTTTGGTGGCTTCTTGTTCATAACCATTCACTATATGTTATTTGTCTCCTCAACTTGTAATCATTCTTGTTCAGTAATTTTTATTCATTGCACAAGAGGGGAAAGGGTAGTCGTCATTCGTTGCAGTGTCATGCTTGCATTAATAACTGTTTGTGTTCTTTCCTTAAGAGAAAAAAAGAAAAAAAAAAAGATTAGCATAAATTTCACAAGAATGTCCCTGAATACATTTTTTAATATAGATCTAGGCTTGATAACTTTTTTTTTTTTAATAAATTTAAAACGTGTTTAAAATATGTCTCTCTGCTCAGGGATTTATGACGGATTATTGCAGACAGTGCTAAAAAAAAATAAAAGAGCACAAGACAAGTTTACTAAATTAAAATTTTATTTTTTGAAAACTTGTTATTTGTATAAATTATCAGATTTGTAGGCTTTCCTTTTTGTAGAAATAATTGTTTATGTGCCAGATAAGAGAATTTCAATTTTGTTTTCAATAATAAAGCATTGATAACTAATACATTGTGCATTCCTTCATCTGTTACTGTAGCAACTCTATTGACTTTTTTCTTATTTTAATTTAGTGAGTTATATTGACTACTTCATGTACAGGACAACTATATGGCATAAGTAGAATACAAAGCTGTTGCACTAATCTTTCTTATATACTCTTGACTTTTCTTCTTCAATTTATGTTTTCAAATATAAAAGGCTCCTTGGAAGCCTCACCAAATTTAGCCAAAGTAGTATAATAGCTATTAAATTTGTATGCTGTTTCTAAACTGTGAGGGAACACAAGCTGATGAACAAGATATATTTGCAAATATTTTTTATAGTGACATATAAGTGCAATAAAAATACTCCCAAAATGTGCAGTTGTCAGCAAAAGCCCAGAAGAGGCTTGACTTTATATGAATGGACTTCCTAGTGTTTGGGGTAACCTTTTCTTGATGTTGTAATGTCTCCTGTGATAGGCTCTAATTTCACATCTACTTTCTTTTTTTCTACCCAGGAGCTGTTATAAAAAGTTTTGGTTTTATGCCTTCTTGCTGTTTGCTGATTCTTGCACGTATTTGAGTTCAATGGACTTAAGACTAATGCCCTGACACACTCCCAGTTCTGTTGCACTCAGGTCCTTTGCATTAACAGATTTGTGCTACAGTTAGAAAATGTTGATGGACATGCATAGAGTATTATAGAGGTTTTAGGTCCTTGACTTCAAAATTTGCTTATGGTGCCTTATTTTTATCTAAGATCAAGCCTTGCTGTCACCGACACGGTCATTACCTGCCTAAGTAGGTTTTGATGAAATGGCAGGTAGCGTATGCAGAGCATGCAAAGCAGAGTCTGAGCTGTGTCATTTCTGCAAAACAGGCTTGAATTCCTGCTCTGGCACTTTATTTACTCATTAGAAATGATTAAAAATTTTAGAGGGCTAGAGTTTAATCAACAAAGTTAGAACAGCAAAATCAAGTTGTGGACTAATGAAGAACAGAACATTAAAAGCAAACAATCTAGAATTTAAAAAAAAATCTTGGTGTAGTAATTAATCAAAATCAACCCTTGCAAGACAGAAATGCTGACCTCAGAAGGAAGCATAGCATAGTATACGACTGATAAATTCACCATGAAATGCTGAGCACGCGCCAGGTGTTATGCTGCTGGATTACAAAATTTTTGTGGTTGTGTTTGTGTTCAAAACTCACATTGTACTTTCTCCTCTTCCTTTTCTTACCTGGGTGCTCTGTTGTGGCACGCTGGCTCTTCGGAAGCGCCACAGCTGTCGTGGGCAGACAAGCCTGAAGGTAACGCGCAATGAAGGGCAGAAACATTAAAATGGGCTTTTTAAAAAGGTGCAAGAAAATGCAGGTTTAACTCAGACACGTTTTCCGAACACTCAATTCATTTGAGCACATTTCCAGTGACAGAGACTAAGCACAATGACTTAATTTAATTAAGTGTGTAGGCATTTCTATGCAATGCTTGAGGATTAATTTGTTTTCTTTATAAATGTGTGCTGGTTTGTGTGCAGTTGAGCACAAATTTATGCTTAGAAGCATTAACATTTCCCTTTGAAGAAACAGACACGGAAGCCATGTACAGTGCAAATAAAATGTATTTTTGATTTGACAGAACTTGTGAATAAGCCCCTGTTTCTTTGCATCACATATGGATCATTAACTTGCTAGGTTTAGATTTTATATGGACCATTTTTAATTATTTTTGTGAAACTCTGAAGCTGATTGTATTAAACAGTGTTCCTGCAGAGTTTGAGTACTGTGAGCCACAGGTACAACAGTGTGGTGAGATGCAGAAATGGAAATTGGCTTTGACAGGCAAACTTGAGATCAACTTTGATTTCAGGAAAGATTTAACAAAGGTGAACAGATTTGCAAACCAGAAAGGCAGTGGTTTGCTGCACTAAATAATCCCAAAATCTAAAGATTATTTGAGAGGCTGAGAGGCTTTGTTTCTCCTCTGTATTTTTTTCCCATCAGCAAAATATTTTCTATTCTATTCTGGAGAATTATTTCACTAGTTATCTTGAAAAAAAGAAAGTTTCTGCATATCCAGTATTTTTCTTTATTACAGTGAGAAATTAATTTTAAAAAGAGCTGATGCATTTATTATTTTGACATGTCAGTTGCAATGACCGTAAGGTACTTCACAGTATGTCAGTACAAATATTCTGGTATATTGTTTCTTGCATTAAAGAAATTCCCTTTTCTAGTTTGTATCCAGTATGCAAAGCTGTCTTTGCATTACATTACAACAAAGAAGTCATTTTTGCACACCCTGAGTTTCTGGAATCCATCATTGTTCTTCCTGTTGTGGCAATGAATACTTCTACATTACACTGTAATTATATAGGATGATAGAAAAAATGTCTTGCCTTTCCTTTGCAGTTGATTTTTTTCTCTTCTTTCTTTTCAATCACCGTCATTTTGCAGAATTATTTTTGCCCTTTGCTACTGCTTTGTGAAACAAAGTGTTTAAAAGATGGATGAAAATTTAAAAATGTCTTAGTGCATTTTTTTAAATAAAAAGTCTTACTCATCAATGAAGGGGGGAAGATTTGGGGTGAAAGAAATAAAAAAGCAGGTAGGCATCCTAGCCTTGTCTCTCTCAAATAATTCATCACTTTTGCTGCAGAGTCGGGGAAACAACACTGGAAAGGATTCATGGGAACTGACAAAGAATAAATTCTCTTATTTATACCTCTACAAGCTAGACAAATGCTAACTGACCATAAGGAGAAGCTAAACCGAGAGAAGCAGGCTGGGTCTTGATAGTCCCCTGGTGAGCAGTTGTCAAGGCAGACGAGTGAAGCAAATTCAAGTTGGTAACCAGGCATGGATTTCATTCAGCCTATTTGAAAAATAATATGACAAAAGACCACCCATCTTGATTACCTGAATTTCTTGCTTTGCAGAAGTGGTCTTCCAGGGGCTCTGTTAGCTCTGACTGAAGCAAAATGTCAGATGACAGAGAAGCTGGAACAAAATATTTTAAAAGTATTTAAAAAGAAAAACTTTACATTTTTAAAGGCTTCATCCTATTTCCTATATTATTTTATATCAAAAATGTGTGTTATAGATCAGACATGCACCTGAACCTATTCTGCTCATGTGGCAGAGCTCAGAGGGTTGTGATCAGAGTGCAGAGTCTAGTTGGAGGCCTGTAGCCAGTGGTGTCCCCCACGGATCAGTCCTCGGTTGAGTCCTGTGCAATTTATTCATCAATGACCTGGATGAAGGGACAGAGTGGCCTATCAACAAGTTTTCTGATGATACTAAACTGGGAGGAGTAGCTGATACCCCAGAGGGCTGCGCTGCCATCCAGAGGGATCTGGACAGGCAGGACAACTGGGCAGTGAGAAACCTCATGAAGTTCAATGAGGGCAAGTGCAGGATCCTGCACTTGGGGAGGAATAACCCCAGACACGAGCACAGGCTGGGGACTGACCTGCTGGAGAGCGGCTCTATAGAGAGGGACCTCGGCGTCATGGTAGATGACAAGTTGACCATGAGGCAGCAGTGTGCCCTGGTGGCCAAGAAGACCAACGGGA